TATACTGTGCAAATTCCTACAACCTCCCTATTAATCTCTGTGACTATTGTTAACTTTCTCTTGTTTTTGAGAATATCTTTCACTGTGGCATAAAATAATATACCATTTCAAATTTTTAAAAATATGTTTAAATCACTGTAACACTGGATATTGCTTGTTTTCTTTTGCAATTTTCTCATCATGTGTAAAAGAGCAAGTTCACTTCTGTTTTCTAATTGGTCAGGTTCCAGATAAGCTTTATTTTTTCCTAACTTGCCATTTTAACCACTAAGTGTATAATTTGGTAGCATTAATTATATTCACAGTGTTGTATACCATCACCACTATTTGTTTACAAAACTTTTCCATCACCCCAAACAGAAACTCTGTACCCATTAAGCAATAACTCTCTATCCCAACCCCCTCCCATGCCCCAGCCCCAGGTTAACTACTAATCTCCTTTGGTCTCTATACATTTGCCTATTCCAGATATTTCATATAAGTGGAATCACACAATATTTGTCTTTTTATGTCTAGCTTATTTTACTCAGTATAATGTTTTCCAAGTTTATCCATGTTGTAGCATGTATCAGGACTTCAGGAAGAATAACATCTCATTGTATGTATATGCCCTATTTGTTTACCTAATAATCTGTTGATTCATCTGTTGACATTTTGGTTGGTTCTTCCTTTTGGCTATCTTGAATAATGCTGCAAGGAACATGGGTGTACAGGAAAATGAGTTATTTTAAAACATATTGGCCTTATGCCATGAAGGCATATATGTTCTCTGTGAAGGACATATATTCATAGCTAGAATGTAGACCTCTGAAAGTATAACAGGTGTTAAAAGACAAATCTAACACTAACATAGATTTCTCTGTTGTATATCAAGATATAACATATTGAAAGTATATACAGTCCATTCTCATTATTCACACTAGTAATGGTCTATAAAATCACTGCAAACACCAAATTAGCAAATAGTGAGCTATTGCTCTTAGGGGAAGATACTGGGTTACATTCCCATGAGCCTGTGGTCACAACATCGTTCCATATGTGTTTCGGTTTCCAAAACCAAACCAAAAACCCCTGCTGTCTCGTTCACTCTGATTTATGGCAACCCCATGTCTTACAAAATGGACCTAAGGTCCATAGGATCTTCTTGACTATAATTTTTGCAGAAGCTGATTGTTAAGCCTTTATTCATGGAGCTGCTAGGTGGATTCAAACTGCCAATCTTTTGGTTAGTAGTTGAGCTCAAACCGTTTGCACCACCCAGGAACCTTGTTTTTTGTTTAAAGACAACTTATTTCGTATATATTGTTGATTTATTAACAGTGAGTTCAAAGCCAACAGCGCTGTAACTCATGCCTGAATGAAGCTTATCTAACTCAAGTATTTTTCTCTGTAAGGTACAGAACAGCCTTTTTGCACCTAGGAACGGGACTTCAGCATTGCACTTGAGGCTGTTTTAAACAGCAAAATCACCAGCAAAACACAAAAATGCAAACAACGTGGCACTAAATTGCAAAAAGGCTATACCTACTCCTCACTTAGGGGAGCTCTGGTGGCATAGTGCCTAAGGCACTTGACTGCTAACCAGAAGGCTGGCGGTTCAAATCCACTAGCCACTCCTTGGAAGTAAGGTTCAATCTACTTTGGTAGTGATACCACCTCGGAAACCCAAGGAAGGGTCACTATGAGTCAGATCTGACTCAATGGCAGCAGGTTCGGTGTTTTGTGTTTTTTTTTTGGTACTCCTCACTTACGAACAATCTCGTTATCTGACATTTCACATATAAGACAACAGTAAAAAGATCTACTTTGTGACTATTTTGCACATTAACAACCTGTGTCTGACAGTGATGAGTGCTGAGGTGTGAGGTGAAGTAACACTGGTTTTGATGGTTAAGGTCATGTGTCAACTTGGGTAAAACGCAATGTACCGCACTGCTGTCGAGTCAGATCCAACTCATAGCAACCCCTCCTTGGGTTTCTGAGGTGATATCACTATGGAAATAGATTGCCCAACCTTCCTTCCAAGGACTGACTGATGGTGGGTTTGAACCGCTAGCCTTCTGGTTAGCAGTCAAATGCCTTAGGCACTACGCCACCAGAACTCCCGTCAACTTGGGTAGGCCACGATTCTCCATTGATTGACAGTTAGGTAATAACGTAATTTGGCACGTAAGTAATGATATAGTCATTCTCCATTTTCTGATCTGATGTGGTCATCTTTCATTTTTGAATAACGGTAACTTTTGCATAATTCCCTGGCCTCTGGAACCTAACCCTGTGATAAGAGAGAATTGAGTATTCTTGTCTCTACTGTATAACAACAAAGTGGGGCATCCTCATGTGTGACTTCAGCTGGGAACAAGCATGTCAGGCAACTCAAATTTTCACATATTGTGCATATCCACAAATGACTGCAAAAGCACCACAGTTACTGATTTGGGGGCTCTGATGGCACAGTTGTTAAAGCATTCAGCAGCTAACCCAAAGATTGGTGGTTCGAACTCACCAGCTGATCTATAGGATAAAGGTGAGGTAGTCTACTTCTGTGAAGATTTACAGCCTTTGAAACCCTATGGGGCAGTTCAATCCTGTCCTATACGATCATTGTTGGAATTGCTCGATGGCAGTGGGTTTTAATAAATTTTAAAGCAGTCTTGGTGGTGCAATGGTTAAGCTTGACTACTAACTAAAAGATCCATGGTTCAAACCCACGAGTGGCTCCACAGGAGAAAAGCTGGCAATCTGCTCATGTTACAGCAAAGGAACCCTGGGACAGTTCTACCCTGTCCTATTAGGTCTCTATAAGTCAGAATTGACTTTGACAGCACGTAACAACACAATACCAATACATTTTAGCTAATAGGTGAGTTTCCAAATAAGGAAGGTGCATATTAGGGATCAACTGTATTTCCTTATTGTTTACATTTTATTATATGAACTGAGTATAACTGTGGATTCATATTCACATTTATAAATATTTTTTAAATAATTAAAATAATTTTAAATATTTTAAATAAGGTGTGGAAAATGCTTTATTATTAACTATAAAGTGTCCCCATTTATAAAACATCAAGTCAACACCAAATTGGCTCCCAATTTAAATGCCACAAGAAGATGCAGAGCTCCTGACAGTGTGTGTCTGTGTACATCTCATTAATAAGGAATCAAACATTTGTTGGTTCTCCCATCCCACTTTGAAATAGATGTTGTATCCTACCCTCACACTACACATTTATTTTAGTACTAATTCCATCTTGTTTTTAATTTGTGGCAGAGACTTGGGGATGGGAAAGAGAAAGCATATTAATGCAAAGTTATGACCTAAAATGTAACGAGTGGAATCATACAGGGCACATGTCAACAGCAAAAGCAAAGCAATCTCATTGTCAGTGCATTTAGAGATACCAGAATGGGCGTGCACATATATGTACCAAAAAAACCAAACTCACTGCCATTGAGTCGATTCTGATTCACAGTGACCCCTGTTGACTTTCCAAACCTGTAAATCTTTATGAAAGTAGATTGCCTCATCTTCCTCCCACAGAATATCTGGTAGGTTTGAACTGCCAACCTTCTGGTTAGCAATTGATCACGATCACCTTATCCACTACACCACCAGAGGTCCTTACATATATGTACAGGGTGGTATAAGTTTAATACCACATAAAATCAAAAACAAACTCACTTAGTACCCAAAATTCTGGATATGAGTTACTATGGTAATCATCAACTGAGTAACAGATTTAAACTTTTAGTCATAGTATATTGCATTGTTTACTCCAGAATCAGCCAGTCTTTGCTCTTTCTTATTTATTTTTGGCCAATTAGAAAATAAAATGGGGTGGGGGGCTGTATCTGTTTACTTTCTGAGCATGAGTATATGTAAATATGTACACATATCTGTGTATTTTTTCCAGGAGTTTCTATATACACAGGACCAGGCAGTGTTTCATTCTGTTGTACATAGGGTCGCTATGGGTTAGAGCCAACTCAACAGCACCTAATAACAACAACTATATACACATTGTCTAAAAGTTGTACAGTTAACATAAATAGACTCCAAAGAGAAATTCCAATATACCATGTTCCCTTGCACATTATCTGTGTGTGTGTATTTGTATGGCAGTCTGTCTTTTGACTTTGTGTTTCTTTCTTATTCTGTATTTATGGGAACCTCTAAGGCAGATGCCTTACAACAACTGTGGGTGCTCACCAGACTTATGCAGAATGAATTGCCTGAGTCCCTCTTCTCGCTACGAGTGACGCAGGACCAGGAGGAAAAATAAAATCGAAGCATCCAAATTTAGAAACCACATTCAGGTTAAAGGGCACCAACCATCCTGGCTTGGATTCTGCCTAAAGGACAAGGCTCTCATTTTATAAAGATCATTAGTCACCAAGATATATATTTTAGCAAGTTCCCAGTAGCGAACATTCCGTTGGCAGTCACTGGAGTGTACCAGATGGTTCATTAACATAGGCTAGACAAGTCAAAGGCTTTCAGAATCATTTAGAAAATGTCAAACAGAAACAAGAACCCTGTCACTTTTTATTAGAATTAACTACATCATACCCTGGACACAGATTTCACCTTGGGTCAGAAAAATTAATACAGAATTATATGAATTGTGTAATATACTGGGTTAAGATAGGTCTTTCTCTAGGGACTCATTTGCTGGCAATATATTATGATCCCTCCACTTTAGGAATCCTCAAATCTTTCCTTCTGTAAGATATGAAAAGAGTTGACCTTGCTCAAAATCCATTGGTGTCTAATTGATTTGAGGTATATGCAGAATTTCAACAAGACATTCTTCTAAAGCTCTTTTGTGTTCCTTTTGCTGGGAAGCTTGGTGAGTGTGCTCTCAGCATATTCAGCAGCACTCAAAAGTACATTATATGTCAAGGGGAAATGCATTCATTAATTGAATACACAGCTTTAGTAAACATGAATTAAAATGCAATTGAAATGTTTCTCCTTTTTTTTTGTTTAAACTCAGATGTCAAAAACCTTGAGAACTTCCAGCTTGTGGAAGGTGTCCAGGAACAAGTCAATGCCGCCCTGCTGGACTACACAATGTGCAACTACCCGCAGCAAACAGAGAAATTTGGGCAACTACTTCTCCGACTCCCCGAAATCCGGGCCATCAGCATGCAGGCTGAAGAATACCTCTACTACAAACACCTGAATGGGGATGTGCCCTATAATAACCTCCTCATTGAAATGTTGCATGCAAAAAGAGCCTAAGTTATAACTCCTAAGAGCTCAGCTTTCAAAACAAAAAGAGATTGGAGAGGGGAAAGAAAAAGAAATACTCTAAACTGCTCCAAGCAACACTGATTAAAAACTTGGTTTAAAGATATTGAATTTTAAAAGGCATAATAATCAAATACTTAATGCAAATAAATGATGTATCAGGGTATTTGTATTGCAAACTGTGAATCAAATGTTTCACATCCCCAAAGGATTCCATACAAAAGACATTGTGACGGAGAGATTGAACTCACAGATGGTTGACACCACCATATCAGAATAAAAAAATGACAAAACAATGCTTGTATATTTAAACTGATCTCCACTATGAAGAAATTTAGGAACTCTTGGTGTGATTAATTAGGCCTCTACAGTGGGGGATTTGAGCTCACAGAATTCCTCCAAACTAAAGCTGAACTGAAAACAATTGTCAAGAATGCATCAGCTGCACCTACGATAACCCTCCCTCTTCCTTTCAAGGACCTAGCACCTTCTGTCCCTGTGATCATGGAATCTGTACTATGAACCTGTGCTCAGTCACACCCAGCTGTAGCTCCACCAAATCTTGAAGAGCCTAATTTTGAATGTCTGTGTCTTAGACCTGCAAACAACTAATAAGAACAGCCTATTAATATGTTAGCTTGCCATTTTAAACATGTTCTGAAGTTTGTTTTGTTCCGTGTCCATAACGTTAAAAAAAAAAAAAGCAGGCACTATCTCTCTTCTAGTCTTACTTATATGAGCATTAATTAATATTAAGGGTGATGACTACAAACTTTTAGAATAAATCCTCCATAGCTAAAGCAAGTTAGACCTTCTTTCTGCTACTGTTGTTGAAATGTGGCTTTGGCATTGCTGGATTTCATAAAAAATTTCTGGCTAAATGGCTTGGTAGGTTCCATCCATCAGTTTTTTAACCATCAAAGTTGTCATCCATTGAGAAAATAAAACACTAAGCATATTTTTCTGGAATGTCAAGTAGTCACAGTTCCTATACAGTTCAAAACAAAATGGAAGCATGTTAAGCTATGCAAAAGGAAAAGAAAGAGTGAGGTGATAAATTGATTGACTCAAGGCTTATTCCTGTTGTGATTGAATATCTCTTAAACATGGAGTGGAAAGGATGATTTTTACCTATTGCCTGGAGAGATATCATGGTAATTCAAATCTTCCCAAAAAGAGAGAAGAAGAGAGTGATATTGACCTTTCTAAGTCATAGACCAAAGTCTGCTGTAGAACAAATATTGGAGGACAAACAATTGCAAACAAACCTCTCCAAACGACGATATCAGTATTATTAATGTGTAATGCCACAGAAATGGAAGTCTTGCCTTATTTCACCATTCTAGAAGGTAGCTGTGCAGTTGTGGATCAATATTTGTTTGAAATAAAGTATTAATGCTTTTAAAGTCAAATAAAACATAGTGTTTACATTCTTTAGGTCCTGTGGGGGGGGGGGAACTGTGATATTACAAAATAGCAAAAGCAGTAATTTCCTTAATGTTATTTTTCTGATTGGTAATTATTTTGAACAGTACTTAATTATTGTATGTCGTGAGACACTAAAATCAAAAACGGGAATCTCATTTAGACTTTAATTTTTTTTGAGATTATGGCGGCACAATCACTTGTAGAAACTGTAAAAAAAAAAGTGTCTCCTAGTCTCTTAATTTTTTCATAAATGTTTCTGGCTTTTGAATAGTTTATTTATATTGTATATCATAGTTTCAACTGTAGACAATTATGATGCTAATTTATTGTTCATTGGTTTCATCTTTGTATAAGATATCGCCAAGACTGAAGAAACCAAATATATGTGTTTACTGTAGCATGTTTTCAAGTTAGTGGAACATAGTTCAGGGACATGGAAGGGTCTTAATGAATTAAAATCATTCACTTGATTAAATGTCTGTAAATCTTCATCATTCTTTCTGTAGTTTATTTAATATCTATTGTAAATTATGTGACTTGTAGCTTCCTCTGTTTTCAAGTAAATTTAACAAGGTGGAGTCTTACCTGGTTTTCTTTTCCAAACATTGTAAGTTGTATACCAAAGATATTAGTTACTATTTCTGTATGTACAAAGAGGATTATTTTATTACTTTTATTAATCACCTCTAATACTCATCCACATGAAGGGTACACTTTAGCTAAGCTGGGCATGGATGGCTCCTCACAAGAGTCTCAACCACCTGTGTTAGCTTCATGGCTGAAATGACAATGAAAAATCAAATCAGTGTCACATCCAAAATATTAAATAGAATGGCAGCCTCTCTGCTTCCCTTAGTTAGAAAACATTGGCTAGAAGACACATGGAGAGGATTGGTGTTGCCAACAGTTCATAAAATGGTTCCACCGTGTATGTATGTGTAACATGGGTGGAAACATGAGATTTGGAGACTTATTTTGAAGATTTTTAACATTGCAAAATATATACATACATACATATATATATATATATATATATATATATATATGTATATAGATAGATTCTTAAAACCCATGTTTTCTTAGTTTGAGTATACAGTACTCCCCACAGCATATTAAACCTAAAACAATATCAAGTATTGGTATGTTGTTAATCTTGTAATTGACACCATGGAAGCAGTTAGAAAGATGGCAACACGAAGAGTTACAGCCACACTGCTGGTGACACCAAGGACAGAAACTGATTAACAAGAGTGTGCCACAGCCAGCGTCTGTGGTGCCTCCAAAGTTGGCAAGCAAAATTTCTCTAATTGTTACCCAATAACAATATAACCAGACATTTACTTAACAACTGCCTTATCAGTGTAAAAGCAGACTCAAATATAAAAGTTTTTGGCTTAGCCTGGCTTATTGTAGTTGGTCTATGTTTATAAACAGACAGTCTGCTATGTCTGAATATTTGTATTACAGATCTGCAGCTGCCCTGGATTTGAATCCATGCAACATTTAGAGTGTGAAGTTGGTTACCTGTTGACGTTTTCTTACTGTACCAGTGAAATGCATATTGTCATGTCAGTTCTTGCCAGGAATTTCTCAACAAAATGGAATTTTTTTTTCTTTTTTTCAGTATTTCAATAAATGTTGATATGCCCAGCCTGAAAAATTTTAAAAGTTTTATGCTGTCCTCATTCTATTGGATGCTAAAGCTTTTATGTAATTAAGATATTTGAGTGAGGATGGAATCAAAAGAATTTCATGAGAGTAGAAGGTGACTTTTCTCTCTAGATATTTTCTAGGGTACTCTATTGTCCTTGATTAGACACCTGAACCATTACATTCAACATGTTCATCATATTTATATATATAAGTTAATTTTATATTATTTACTGTTATAATTGATGGGCACAAAAGTCTTAGACAATCTAATTTTTTTGTAGAGGATAGATGATTAGATAGATGGATGGATGGATGGATGGATAGATACTGTTGAGTGGATTGGGGACTCATGGCAGCATTATGTGCAACAGAAAGAAACATTGCCTCATCCTCATGACTGCCTGCATGTTGGAGTTCACGGCATTGACCACTTGTACCATTCCATCTCACTGAATGTCTCCCATGTCATCACTGGCCCTATACTTCACCAAATACAATGTCTTCCTCCAGCAGTTGATCCCTCCTGATGATAGGTCCGAAGCATGCAACTTGGACAATGTTGTGTTGTGATCTGTAAGGTTTTCATTGGTTAATTTTTCCATAGACTGCCAGGCCTTTGTAGAGTTTACTATGCGCTGCTAAGCTTACTATGTACTTTCCCAAGAGCTTTATTAATGCACTTGATCTTCAGAACAACTCCACAAGGCAGAATTTAGTATCTTCATCTTATAGCTACCTGCTCTAGGTCATATACCAGTCATTCATTAGAGGAGCTGGGATGTGAACCCAGGTAGTTTGACCTCAAAGTCCATGCTCCTAAACACTACACCTGGCTGTCTCTAATCCAGGATGACACTATGGATTTACTTTCAAGAGGAAAAAATATTAAAGAAAACCAAGTGCCAGGTCACCACTAAATATACAAATGTTTATCAGTAACCGAGAAACATAAAAGCCTCTACATATCTGGAGTTTAACCCTAAAAAGTAACATGCTTGTGTTTTAGAAATTAACTTCCTTCGGCACCATTGAGACTTTGGAAATGTTTAAAGCAACAAAACACCTACAAAATCCTTTTTTGGAATTAATTATAACCTTGACTATAAAGTAAAGAGCTCTGGTGGCAGTGTAGTTAAAGCCCAGGGCTGCTAACCAGAAAGTTGGTTGTTCAAATCCACCAGCCACTCCATGGGAGAACGACAAAGCAGTCTGTTTCGATAAAAATGTACACCCTTGGAAATCCTAGAGGGATAGCTATGAGTCAGAATCAACTTGATGGCAATGGATTTTCTATTTTATTACAAAGTAGTGCAAGCATCACAAAATAAGCAACAGTGCTTATGAAACAAGGTGGCCCACCCATCTTCCTCCCACATCCCTCCTTTTCCATTCCCATCCCTACCAAGATAGAGTCATTGTTCCTTTCCCAAGCTGGCACTAATTTTCCTTAGGTCCTACAAAAAGATACGAAAGAGTCAGCCCAAAACATTACACTTAGGGGCTTAATAGACTATGGAACTAAGGTTTTTGAACAACTAAATCACCCACCATCTGCTTTTGTGTCAATTCCAGCTCATAACAACCCCATGTGTGTCAGAGTAGATTTGTGTGCCATAGCGTTTTCAACGATTGAGTTTTTGGAAGTAGATCACAAGGTCTTTCTTCTGGGCATCTCTGGGTAGACTTGAACCTCCAAACTTTTAGTTAGAAGGCCAACCACATTAACTGATTGCACCACCAAATGATCCCATAAAACCTATTTACCTTTTAAAAATTCTTGCTGACATTCCATGAAATTGAAAATATATATGGAGCCCTGGTGACACAGTTTTAAGTGCTCAGCTGCTAACTGAAAGGTCATCAGTTGGAACCTACCAGCCGCTCTTTAGGAGCAAGGTGTGATGGTCTGCATCTGTAAAGATTTACGGCCTTGGAAGCCCTATGGCGCAGTTCTACTCTGCCCTACAGAGTTGCTATGAGTCAGAATTGACTCAGTGGTAACAGGTTTGGTTTTGGTTTATATATTTTATTTTATGTGTGTGTGTGTGTGTGTGTATTTATATATATATTAGTTTGGGCCTTAATGTAGAGAGCCCTGGTGGTGCAATAGTTAATCACTCAGCTGCTAACTGAAAGGTTGGCAGTTTGAACCCAACCAGTGCCTCCGCGGGAGAAAGACCTGGTGATCTGTTCCTGTAAAGTTTAGTCCAAAAAAACCCCACAGTTGTCAAGTCAATTCGAATTCCTAGCAACCCTATAGGACAGAATAGGGTTTCCAAGAATATAAATCTTTATGGAAACAGACTGCCACATCTTTGTCCTACAGAGAAGCTGGTAGGTTTGAGCCACCAACCTTTTGATTAGCAGCCAAGCACTTTAACCACTGGACCATCAGGGCTCCATTCTGTAAAGACTGCAGCCTGGAAAACTCAATGGGGGCAATTCTACTCTGTCACACGGGGTCATTGTGAGTTGAAATTGACTTGATGTCACCTAACCACAATAACATGTTGTTGTTGTTGTTGTTATGTGCCATCGAGTCAGACCCGACTCATAGCAACCCCTCCTTGGGTTTCTGAGGTGGTATCACTACAGAAGAAGATTGCCCCATCTTCCTTCCGAGGTGTGGCTGGTGGGTTTGAACCACCAGCCTTCTGGTTAGCAGTCAAGTGCCTTAGGCACTATGCTACCAGAGCTCCCAACCACAATAACATACATCTGTTAAAAATTGGTAGAGAAGGAGTTTCTCTAAAGCCCAGCCTGGCAGGTAGCAGAGGTCAGTCTGATGAGAGCAGAGGCCTAAGTTCTTTCACCTAGAATAATACCCACGAAGTTGCTAAATCCATCAGCAAGATGCAGCTCCTAAGGGGGGGGCAGGGGGAAGGCTCATGCTGATGTACATTTGATTGTTATATTTTATATCAACAGTAACTTTGAAGAGGTTTGTACCCTTAACTAAGTTTGACATTCAGTTTGAAGCCATCTCTGATGTATATTTTTATGAGAAACATGTGGAGAGTTTGTTCAACATAACACAGGTCAAAATGCTACAATACTTAGTGATCTTGACGTTTCCCTGGAATAATAAAGACCAATTTTCCTTAACACTGAACAGGAAGTGTATAGTTTAGTCACTCAACATAAATATTCTTACAATACTTCAACTGTTTCACAAAGGCATTTGTTTTATGCTGTTAGAAATTAATAATCCACTGACTGATATAAGGCTTTGATTGTGGTTTCATTTGTGTAAAAAAAAGAAAAAAAGTCTACGAAACTTTGAATGTTTAATTGTTGCTAGAAGAAAAGAAAGGGGGGTAAAAGGAGGTATAATTAGACTAATTGCTGAGTATTCCTGAAATGAGTTTGAAACTAACCTTACTGAGCAATCTGTAGACTTGAGAATGCTAGGGCCCATTCATGAGCTGATACCAACCTGTGTCAGACCCTAGGCTGCCCCAGGGATATTATGGCTCCCATGTGGGACACCCTGGGACACTAGTAGCAGATAGAGACACTGT